AAAGCCAGTGAGGTATTCACGATATTTGCAAATCAATGGTTTTCTGAATCATGCAAACAGAATAGAATATTGCAGGTGAGTTTTTTTTCAGAACAAAATTACGAACATATTTTATATTAGAATCCTCCCACCCTTTCTCCCTTCTTCCCTCCTTCTTTTCTTTCTTCTTTCTTTTAACTTAGCAAGCAAAATGATCTTTTATTTTTCTCCCTTGATTCTGCTTATGGATAGGAATGCAGGGCTGATCCTAGGGGATCACTGCTCTACGAAGCCGGTAGCCACCCCAACCGTCCCGGCTAAACCTGACAGACTGTCCTCTGAAGTTCTACCAGCAGAATTCAGGAACTGAGAATGGTTCATCGTATTCTGAAAAATAATTTTCATCATATAATATGAAACATTTAACTTTTGTATTTTGTCGTTTTTATAAAACAGTAAGAGAAAAAATTAATAAAATAATTTTAGAATAAAAAAATGATAAATTCTTTCAAATCATGCACACTTTAATGTTTCTATTTTATGTAGTTTTAGTATCAAAATTGCACTGGGATCACAATATTTTCTTACTGCTAAGAGATAACCATAGGCACTTAATAATTTATTTAAATAATCTACAAAATGGAACATAAGCATAAAATATTGAAATTATCTATTTGAAATGCTAACATTTTTTAAAAAGACAACATATAGCAAAGGAAAACTAAGTTGATATATTTTTAATTCTACAAAAATGTATAAATATTTAAATTTGTAGCAAAAGAACAATTACGCCATTTAGTAACGCTTACAATACTTAAAATGTGTAAATCCTTATGCACAATCTAGTTTTATAAATGTTAAATAACTGTGTGCCAAGCATATATCTAAAACATTTTGAAATTATTTCCCTTTAGCTTTGGCTACACTGACCAGAAAAAAATCAAAAGCTCCAAAATCAAAACAAAACAAAAAACCATATAATCATCAAATCCTATTTTTTCCACTTGTGCTTTTTTTAGCTGAAAGTACAACTCAAACCAAGCAGTGGCTTACGTTCATTTTTTACACCAAATTAAATGCATGATGAAAATCTCATTTTTTAACCATTATAGATAGAGCCTTAATCATCTAATTTCCTATCCTTATTCTAACTCATTACAAACAGAATATTGGGTGATTTGTTCTCCCTCACTAAAAACAAAAATAAAAGGATAACTTCATATGATGATGACATAAGTTTCATAGATGTGGTCTTTATCTTAATAGATAGTTAACACAAAATCTGTCCTACATCACTCATATTTCAGAGGGTTTTAAAACAAATACAATGAAAATTGCCTTTAGAATTTATTGAACAATGTAAAGCAAAAGTTGGACACAAATTTACACAAACTATTTAAAACACATTGCTGGTGTTCATTCAACACCTTAAATTTATACAAAGCTTATAATTAATAGCAGTTTCAACATGGTGTAGTCACACCAGATGTGTTCATGTGCTGTACAGAAAAGTGACTGATTTTATCTATTCCATATTTTGACATATTGGGGAAAATGAAAAAGAAAATGGCAGGTAGTGGCTAAATCCTGAAACACAAGCTGCCTTAAAATTTAGTGGAATTTTTGCTGTCCAACTGAATTGGAAATTTATTAAAGATTTGCAGATATCAGGTATGCAGAAAGACAGTTTGTGGATGGTGAAACATTCTTTACGATCTTGAATTTCTTCAATTCTTCACGTTTGTTAAGTTAGCATACTTTATAACCTAAGAATGCATACACATTTTGCCTCCTCTCAGACTAGGTTTAGCATCTATAAATGAGATACGAGTAAAATGGTTGTGATCAGCTAAGATCATCACTTCTCAAGTGGTAAAAACAAAGCTAATATTTTGAGGTTTATTGAATGAATTTGTACTACGCTCTTAACCTCCCACCAAAAATAAATAAAATCATTCCTATTATTCCTGTTTTATTGTTATAGTTATTTCTCCCCCTCTCTTCCCTTTTTTCCTTATTATTTACTATGCTATTTTTAAGCACCGTGGCAAAATCAAATCTATGGGCTCTGTTTACTAGAGTCCACTGGGAAGCCTAGGAATCTCTTCTGATTACCCTGCCGTCTTTGAAGCTGAATAACCTAGAACCTACCCAATGTTCCCAGGAATACATGGTCTAATTCTCAGTACAAGCTGTAGGCCAATCTTAGGTTTCACTTGAATATAATCATAAGGAAAATGAAAATGAGGGTAGAGTATGCTCAGTTAGTTACTGCCGAAGAGCCTTTGCTTCCCTGAAACCCAGACTGCCTAGTAATGCTAGGATGTTCTCTAATTAGGCTGTTTCCTTGATTTTTGCTGCAGGTTTTTATTTATTGCCTATGGTAGAATTTTATAGAGCTAATCTAAGTATGAAAGGTAGTGAGAAGTTAAATTTCTAAAGTTCGTATCTCTAAAGAAAAATAATATCTCTAAAGAAGAGAAGTTAATATTTTTGAAGAATCGATGTACTTACCACCAAATGTTTAATGAAGACATTTTTCTCATCATTGTGCCCTTTCTGTAATATTTTTGAGTGCTTTTTAATTGAATACAGTATTAGGTTATATTAAAAATGATGAGTACTGGCAACACTGCTATATGATCTTTGGGCAAGCCACATTATATATCTGGGTCTCAGTCTTATTATCTATAAACAGAGAAACTAATAGATCATCTGTAAAGGTTTTTTTTTAAGTTTCTACAGTTGTGTTTTGTTTATAGACTTACACTTAGAAATTTACTAATAGCTCCTGTGAAACCATGAAAATACATATCTTTTAAAGAAAATGATACATCTCTCCCCCCTAAAAGTAAAAATCTCATTTGTGCCTTCAGGTGGCCATTAAACACAGCAAAAAATAAAAATTATTTTTCTCTTAATGAAGCAACTTATATAATACAGCAGCAAATCTATAAAATGTCATATATTTCATTTCCATAAGGCAGGATATTCTATCACAGAGAACAAAATATAGCCCATACTTTAATTTGAGAAATATTAGGAAGAAAATTATATTTGGAAACAGTTATGCAAATTCTATCTAAATATATTACTAGACTTTATTTTAAATTTTAAAATACTATGCAAAAAAAAGATATGATACAGTAGCACTTAACAACTTTAACACACATTTTTTTTTTCAATTCATTAATTCAAGAGATATTTGAAGAATACTTACTATGTGCCAAGAACTCTACTAGATTCTGGGGAAACCACAGTGAAAAAACTGACAAAAGTCCTGGCCTTTATTGGGCTTAAATTATAGCTGTGTGATGATGTGAGGGTAGACATAAAATAAAGGAGCAAACTTATAGTTTCTCAGACAATGTACTGGGCTATCGGGAGGGCAAGAGAGAGAAGGGTTTGCCTTGCTGGTGAGATAATATTGAATGAAGACCTAAAGAGAGTGAGTGAAAGAGCTCTGTGGGGCAAAAGGTATAAAGCAGAAAAACAGAAACTTGCTTGGCAGCCATGGGGAAGTAAGGGGCAGAATGGTACGAGACGTACTAAGAAACATGTGAGTGTGTGTGTGTGTGTGTGTGTGCACGCACACATGCGTGCGTGTGTTTGTACATGTACAAATGCACACACAAAGAGAAGTGTGTCATTCATGAAGGACCTTGAAGGCCGCTCTAAGAAGTTTGGTTGTACAGACATGAGAAGTCATTGGAGGTCTCTGAGCCTAAGTGACACAATCAAATATATGCTTAAGAGAATTATTATGGCTGTTGTATTGAAAAAAAGGCTATTTAGGAGCAAGGGTTGGGAAATTAGGGAACACAATTATACATACATCACATTTAAAAAGGTTAGAAGTAGTGACACCCAGTAGATGTGGTAGTAAGTCATTGGTTTCTGGTTATATTTCAAATATAGAATCAATTTCTATATGGATATGGAATTTCTGATGGATTAGATGAAAGTTGAAACAGAAAGAGAGCAGTCAAAAGTGACTTTAGGATTTTGAATTGAGCATCTGGAGGGCTGGAGGTGGCATTAACTGCACTGGGGAAGACTTCAGAAAAGGAAGCTTAAAGTCATTTGAAAAATTTTTTTTAAATATTAATATCTATTAGTCTAGCTCCATAGATAAGGAAAGCAGAAGATGAATGCATTGTGAACTCAATCATGATTTTAATCTCCTGTATTGAACACAATACATATTTTTGAAAAGAAAATTAAATTAGTCATTGCTTTCTGTACTTTTGGTGTTTTATATTTTATGTCATTCTTTGTTAAATACTCTAATAGCCTATGCTAATACCATCTGAGTAGCCTTTGAAAATTTTTCTCTGACATGAAACTCATGCACTTTTCATTTCTTCTGTATTTTTGCTATGACCATAATGAACTTTCAAGTATGTAAAATGCTGCTAAAAATGTGTCAAATTCAGTTTTCATGGAGTTGCTGGTTTTATAATAATTTGTCATTGACCATTTTCTAGATAACATATGCATTTTGATTGATAAATTCATAAGTAGGACAGGCTGTATAAAAGAGTCCTAGAGTATTTAAGCATTTGAAGTTTAAGGGAAAATGTTGTACAGGGACATTTTACCATAATTTATCCATTAGACAAGAGGAAAAGGGGTGAAAAAAAGACTGAAAATGGAAAATATGATTGTTCGAGTCAGTCCTCGGTTGACTTACGGGGCCGCTAACAATCTAAAGCAGAGGCTCACTAGCTGTTGGGAGTCACAGCTTCCTTCGTAAGTTTGCTGTGAGCAATGGATTCTCTATTCAGAAAAAAAAAATGCCCAACGCTAACTTTTACTTACAATTTTAAGGGATTCAGGGATTTCCAGAGATCTCGAGTTGAGGATGTTGACACTCTAAGGCGATCTGAATGC